TGTAATAACCTTTCCAGTCTGAGAGCTGGGAAATATACTGTGAATACAGTAAGAAGATGGACTTTGTTGCTCCAGCAGTGAACAAGTTCGGAACCTGAGCTTATTTAGACACCAATCCTCCAGTGATTCTAAACAACTGAAGTCGAACGCCTGAAGGCCGCAGCTCGGAGCAGCTTTTAGAATAACAACCTGAGGAATGCACAAAGTGGAAAATGAAGATTTTCAGAGGATCATTAGTCACAGTCTCTCCAGTCCGGTGTTGATACTCAGTTATAATCAAGGAACTACAGTGTTGGGTTTGTTTTTGGTGCACCATCTCACAGATGCACCTTGAAGATCTACATTTCACACTTCAGAGTTTGTTGGCAGAAATCCAAATAGACTCATTTGGGATGGTAGTAATGTGTGGAAACTAATGTTAACACCAACCACAGATAAGGAAATCAATTGTATTTAAACATTTTGCAACTGTGATTTCAGTGCGGACCTAAAAAGCCATTTCACATAATGATAATAATATTTTTTAAGTTTAGAGCGATTGCAAAATCCACATTAAATGCTTAACAAAAAATGTTATATACATGAACAAATATACACAACAACGTAACGTAACATAACATTTAGGAACTAAAATGTAGTTAATTCAAAGTTAAGTAAAATCAGGAATGAAAAAAAAAATGTTTTAACAGGGGGACTTAAAGGTGATCACTGACTTAGCGGACCTGATTTCCTGATTTCCATAAGAGTTGAAGCTGTGTCTAGATATAATACAGAAAAAATATTTCTTTAGAGGATGCAACACTGACCCCATGTGAAAGGTGGCTGCATTTTAAACATAATTAACAGCAAACATCTCTAATATCAAATCAAAACAGTATTTATCTCATTTATTCACTGTAGGAGCCAATAGCGAAAATTATGTAATTGATTTGTTTATTATCATTAACATCACACAGTGTCTTTCCAGTTAACCTGATGATCAATATTGAAATACAACATTGCAATGCAACAACAAATGTAACATGTACTGCAAACCACAGATACCTAACAATACCATTTACAAATGCTTAAGTATAAAACAGAGAATAAAAAGCATCTTTCAGAAACGTGAAAAAGTTATCAAAGTTATCATTCTGCTATATAGTACTGTATTATCATTCATGTATGTCAGTTTGACAAAAAACACGACTGTAACTCCTGAAAGTTTTATGTCTCTGCAAGTTTAGGTTCTAATACAGTGGGGACATGAATGGAAAGTAGTAGCTAAAAGTAGCAATACTACAGTATAAAAATACTCTGTTACAAGTCTTTCATTCAAAATGTTAAGTAAAAGTACAAAAGCATTAGCATGAAAATGAAAAAAGTCCCAAAAGTATCACTACTCACTATCCAGAATGGCCAATTTAAGTAGTAAGTAAGATCAACTACTTGATATACTGCCAGATAGCTTAATCCATAATAATGCATCACAATTTAGATTACATTGAAGAATCGGAATCAGAAACGTAACAAGTAACTTATATATAAAGAAATGTTACGGAGTAAAAGTATGCAGTAAGTACAGTAGGAAACCCGTACATGGAACTTTCTTTCTTTTTTGTTGTTGTTGATTCTGGCGGCCCCTGTGGACAACCGTGGTAGTGTTTCTACCGCCCTGTTTCATTAATTTCAAGGGGGATCTGAACCGGTGACATACTTTAACAATAACCAACCTTCTCAACCTTTTAGTAAATGAGCTAACTCATGCAAAATAGCAGTATGGTCTCTTTAATGGCAAAACTACCATAAAACAAGAAGGTGCTTGATACCTAAAAAAAAAATCAGGACACATCTCCTAGCAGAAAATGTATTATCTAAGCTTTTGGTGACAAAGAACTTGGCTGAGACTGGTCATCAAATCATTAGCTGACTTGATTTTGAATGAGAAATCCAGCACCAACACCAGAGAGAGTATAAGTAACTATGTTCAGTGTTATTAACAGCCGCCTCCCACCCACCACTCCCCCTGCTTGAACTTGATATGGGCAACTCTTTCTCTCATTCACGGTCCAGTTCATTCTCCCTAGTTTCTCCCTCTAACAGTGCAGACACTGTGTTGTTTTTTTAAATGGATGTTTTGGCCGTTCCTGCAGACAGACATAAAGGATGGTACCTTTCTCTGATGGCACCAAACACAAAAGGACCAACGTTTGCCTGGTTGGACCCATCCAGACTCTACTGCAACTCACAGGTACGATTCTGTGAGTTGCTTTAATAAAGGATGATTTCTAGTTACTTAAAAGGTTTGTTGAGCTGTTGACACTGTTTCTAGAGTGTTCCATCTCACTAACACAAGCTGTGTGTGTATTTTATATGCACGCTTTGTACTTTGTGCATTTACTGTCTTTGCACTCGATTCAGGCTCTTGCAGACTGTGTCAAAGACCTTGTCAGTCCATTCCACAATGACACCATTGACCTGGTTGCCGGGATAGATGCAATGGGATTCATTCTGGGTAAGAAAACAAACCAATTCATTTTAAGAAGTGAAGTAAATGGTAGCTTAAGAGCAATCACACTTTGTGTCTCACACTAGTTTTATTTTAAGAGGCAGTTACTCTAATAGTACATGGGTCAGGAAACCTAACCCCTCTAGCAAAGATACTAAATTTAGATATTTAGGCTCCTCCAAACCCTGCTTCACATGGCATGACAATGCATGAAACCAGTCAGTCATCCTGTTTAAACCAAGGGAAAACCACAGATAATTTCTGATATATCATTCTGTCTGTGAATGTTTTTTCAGGGGCGTCTGTTGCCACCACCCTCGGAAAAGGTTTCCTGGCAGTACGTAAAGCAGGACACCTGTGTGTCGCAACACAAAACCAAAACTACACTGACTACACAGGCAGAGAAAAGACTATGGAAGTAAGACTGGATGTGCTAAAACCAGGTTAATTTTCCTTTGCTTTTTACCCTTTAACCATGTCAGTTATTGTTTATCTTGAGAAGATGAATGTTTACCCAGCTGACCATGTTTAATTAACCTCATGAGAGAAATATATATTTTTTAAACCAGAGACCACACTTAAGTTTGAATGTTATGTTTTTTATATATTCTTACAAGGTTATCAATAAGTTTATACATGTGTTATTTATGCTTTTGTGTTTTCCATACAAAAGGCAAAACACAGCTTCAGTAATGACTTAGATCATCATCTGCCACCAAAACTCTGTCCGGAAACACTTCAATGCACAGCTGTATTAAAATAAGGATAATAATAAACATATAAATTTTTTAGGATGATCAGGCTATAATATACTTATTTCTGTTATGTATTAAAAATTAATAAATCAACAAAGGTTTTCATAATCAATTAATCTGACCATATTTCTTGTTTAATGTCAGAAAATAGTGCACAACAACAATGTCTATGATGCTTTCAGCAGCCCAAAGTTATGTTTTAACAGTCCAAAGCCCAAAGACTTTCAGTCAATATATGACAAATAAAAGCATCAAATCCTCATATCTGAGCTGGAACCACCAAATAATAAATGTATTAAATGTTTAAATAACAAACTTATTAATCAAAAAATCACTGCAGCTCTAAATTCAACCTAACACCCGAACAATACATGATCCAAATGATTTAAACCAGAAGTTTCTTCAACTTTATATCCATTTATTCCCTGTGTCACAGCACCCTCTAGTGGTAATATGTGAATTAAAGACCCAGATGGCGCTCAAAGATTTGGAGAAATATCTTATCAGCTGTTATGAGGGCCAGTTTAGAAGACTTTTATTAGAGACTTATTTATTTCTAACATGGAGGATTGGTGCAGGAGCAGACAGATGTTACTGTTATATTTAAGTTTGATTATTTATTTCATTCTTTTTTTGTGCAAATTTACATTTGTACATGCAAGCACTAAGACTACAACTAACAGAGTGCCCTGGTAGCTCACCTGGTTGAACGTGTACCATTCAGTCTTTACTGCAGTGGCCCAGGTTTGCTTTATGTTTGCTAGATACATTATAACAATATTTCCTTTTTAGTCTCAATTGTATATATATAACGTAACGCCCTCTTTAAATACTTGACTTTGTTAACAAAGTGAACACTTCAATAAGGATAGCTTTTTTAAAAAAAGTGAAGAGCTGACGTGTCTCCCTCCTTCAGGTGTGAGGGTGCTGCTAGTGGACCAATGGATAGAGACTGGAGGCACTATGAAGGCTGCGATCCAGCTGGTGGAGCAGCTGGGAGCCACTGTTGTGGGTCAGTTAAGAGGGTTACGTTATAACGCCAGAATTCAACGATCCCGAACACCATTAAAGTCAATATCACACTCTTGTTTCCTGCAGGTGTAGCAGCTGTGGCCATCGAGAACACTGAAGGAGGAAAGTGGATTAAAGAAAATTACAAATTCTCTCACTGCATCCCTGAAGAGCTCCAGAGCCAAATTGACCAGAAGTATCTCAATTCCTTCAAAAGCTTCAAAAACTGAACCTGAAAAGATGATTTCTTACAACTTCAGTAATGAAAAAAAGGGGAATAATGATATTTTTTAAGGCTGAGATGGTCAAGAAATAATTTTATCTGCATAGACATGATGTATTTTTTAAACAAATATAGTGAAATCCCCATTTAATGATGTTTTAAAGTTATACTGTGAATTCAACTTAACTGTTCTTGAAAATTTTATTTTTAAATACATGTTTGTTATTTTCAAAACACTTATTTTTCTCTTTTTAAATATTTTTATTACATGTCAAACATACCATGGTAAATTTTAAAGAAAATAAATGATAGATATTCGTACAGTAACGTTTTTTTTATATAAAATCCAAATTCATTCATTGATTTGATTGTAAACAAACAGCAAAAAGTACCTATGAAGCATTATTAAAATTTCCCAGTCTGCATCTACAACAACAGTTCCCACCTGGAGGTTGGGGCCCCACAAATCTGGGGGGGTCGAGAGATGATTAACAGGTAAGAAAGCAGAAAAAAAACATTCCTGCTACATAAAATTCTGTTTATTTTTTCAGATTTTCCTCAAATCTTTTACTACAAAATCTATCTGCTCACAGAAAGGTTGGCAACCTATAAGAGTATAAACATTTAAAACAGCAGACTTTAACATAAACCAGTATTATTGTGAAAAAAAGTCTTAATTGTTGAAGAAACTACAGCAGCAAGACAGAATATTTAATTCAAGCCCTAAGTAAAGTAAGCAGCCACACATACATCATGATATAAAACATCCACAGTCATTCTTTGGCATATCTGCAGTACCAGAACAGGCATTTGTGTGTCATTTCTGTGTCACCCTGTAACTCCAGACAAGTTAAACTGAGCAACACCACAAGAATCCACATCCCACAGAGTAAAAACTCTCTCCAGGCCAGGAAAAACTGAACTCAAAGATGTCAGGAAGCAAAACTCCAGCGTCCCTCCTCCTGCTCTGACCACAGAAAATCCCTCCCATGAGCTGGAGAGCAGACAGTCTTTTTCCACTGAGAAAAATCCTCATTTTCAGTCCGCACCTTTGACTTAAAACTCCTGCTTCCATCCTTACTGACAGCAGTTCGGGTGTTTCTTCTTCGATCCAGGGTACATATTGTTTGAAGTGCTGTTAATCCCTGAAACAAGAGATCAACTGGATGTTAAACTATGTGACAAATGTGATGGTTTTTATTATAACAGAGAGATCATTTGGGTACTCACTGACAACGTCTCCAATTTGCCTCGATCCACTTTTCTCCAACTCAGCGAGAACGTTAGTCTCAAAAGCCAACGATGCAACTCGGAAGAAAAACTCTCTCACGTTTTCCCCTACAGCGTGAAAGAAAGATATGGATCAGTGAGGGACTGCCACAACCTCCTCAACTAATAATTCAAACAATCCCCAAGTCAATGGTCGAATTACTGGTCATTTTACCGTATCCACCACCAAAAACTCACCAGTCAGCGAAGACACAGCCCAATACTCGGCTCTGATCTCTTGTGCTAGTTTGAGGGCATCTTGTTCAATCTGAGAATACTGAGCAGGAGACTGCGAGAGAAACGAGAGGCAACCAAGTTAGATACAATGTAATCGAGTTAAAACTGCGGCCACAGAGGTCTGGTAAAATCCCTTCTACCCACTATGCAAACATATTTATTTCATTTTCCAACTTCCTCAGCCTCAACCAACACTGACTGGAGAGCATTTGAGGTACGGCTCTAAAGCCACCAAAGGCTTTATACAAGTTTTTTAGCATTTGTAGTAGTATTACATTAGACCTGTGAACAGACTTTGATGTGTAAAATTGACAGAGTTTCCCTTTAAAGTATTCATTCATACTGTAGGACTTGCTGTTGACTTCAGAAAATCGAGATGATAGACAGATACAATGTATACCACAGTAGACAGGAATGATACCGGGCTACAGAAATTAGAGCTGCAATTATTAGTTGCTTTATCATTATTTGGTAACTGATTAAGTCATTCTTCAGAAAAAATTATGAGGATGTCAAAAGGTCGGACAAAAGAAGACATGATGTCACTTCGGGCTCTACGAGGAAATTGGTTATTGTTGGAAATTAGAGCAAATAAAGACTCATTAACTGTATCAACAAAAATTGTAATGAAGTAAAAGAAGAGAAACATTTCCAATAAATAAAAATAAACTTGAAATGGAAAAGTATCCCAGGTATCCACATTAAACAACTATGCTTCTTACTTCCTAGCACTGATTAAATACAGCTAGTAATGTCTTAGAAATGTCTGTTTGTCCATCACTTCAACTTCTCTCAGAAATGTGTTGGAGTCTAGTGAAGGATGGGGAAACTACATTCCTGAGGTTTGAGCCAGCACACAAACGCTTTGTGCTGCTGGCGCCGATCCAAACCTCTGACATTTGACTCCACTGACACAGAAATGTTCACAGGCATGTCCACTTTAAACAACAAAAGACGTACGCTCAGGTCTTTCTTTGTGCCAACGAGGAACAGCTGAACCGCAGTGGGGTCGTTCTCTTTCAAGGCATCTTCCAGCCACTGCCTACAGACAGAAAAAGGCAAAAAAACAAAAAAACCTTCAAACCCTCCAGCTGGGAAAAACTGCAAGAGTGCAAATAATCAGCTCATAATAAATAAGCTTACCTCACATGGCCCAAAGAGGCAACATCATTCACATCAAACACGATGATCACAACTGGAAGACAAGAAAATATTGCTTTATTAAAATGCTTCAACAGTTTTAAGTGGGTTTTTTTTTTTTTACTCTGGAGTTTGCAACACAAACTCCAGAGGAAAGATGAGTCTTTAGTACATTTCTTATTGTTCTAAAACACACTAATCTCTCACCCTGGGCTCCTCTGTAGTACGTAGAAGCAATGCACTTGAACCTCTCTTGTCCCGCAGTGTCCCACCTGTAACAGAGAGAGAGAAACTGGTAAGCAATGTCACATCAGACTGACTATGATTTATGTATAATAATGAAGACTTACAGCTGGAGGCTGAAAGGAACCCCCAACACCTCAAACCGCTCCATCTCAAAGTCGACACCGATCGTTGCCTTGTAGTTCTTATCAAAAGCATCTTTGCAAAATCTGAAAACATAAAAACATGTCTTCAGAAAACCCAGGGAATACACAGCTCCGAGTTTGTAACTGATGGACATGGATTGGCAACTTTTGAAGGGTTGGTTCACCCAGTGTTCAGTGTGTTCTGTGGATTTTTCAAAGTAAGGGCACACTCACACATGCACGAATGCAGGCCAAAATGTGGGCAGTGCAGGATGTGCCGCACACAGAAATCAGTTTGTTGACCGTTTTAGGGGTCAACCACTTACTCATACATTTGTTGTTGGCTTAGGCTGCGACTTGCAAATCTGCTTTGCCACCTGGTGTTTTTTTTTTTGCCCTTTTGCTCACACAGAATGAAAGTGGGAGGTGAATATTTGCCAATGCTGAATTTGCGTCTGTGTGACCGTGCCCTAACAGGAAAAAATATGCTGCCTTTTTAAATGTTTTAACCATAATTTTAATGGTTTGAGCACAGGGTTGTAGTGGTATGAGATTTTCATGGTATGTCTCATAATCATTGTATAACTGTATACAGTATAACACCATTATTACCATTATCATCAGTTACAATCACCCTTAAAGAAATGAAAACAGAAGGATGAACAAACTATTTACTATAATTTCACAAAATATTATGTCCTAGATTTTTTTCAAATAACTTTAATATGGTAGCAATTTATATTTTCTTTAAACAATTATAATAGAGTAGAATTAAATACCAGTCTTTAAAGCACGGTGAGATAACAAAGGCATTTTTTAACATTTCTACAGTTTTAAATATGACATTGTGCTTCTTTGTAAGGAGCTACATGAGCTCATTCTTCTTCTTCTCCTTCTTATTCAAGTTATTTATTTCCCAGAACTGCACCTCACTCTGCCTTTGTGCATTAGGCTACTGTGCTTGAGCTTACCTATTAATCAGACAGGTTTTCCCCACGGCAAGGTCACCCACCACAATCACCTTAGAGATTTTAAATCTGCTGAGAGGAATAAAAAGAAGGTGCAACAAGTAAATAAGTGCCACAAAACATCACATCCAGTATCATCTGGTTTCTGGTTCCTGTGCTCACCCCACAGTGCCGGTACGCTGCTCCTGGCAGGCAGTCTTCACTTTATTGTTGAAGTCCTCCTTAGTGTGCAGAGCTGCCTCTTTCCTGAAATACTACAAGAGAGGAGGATGAATTTGTGAATTTGTGAGGCTGCACACTGTTTCAGGTAGACACCTAGGCTGTAAGAGTGCTATATGAGTTTACCTGAGGGAGCTGAGCGATGATACGGTCCCTCCGTACCGGAGGCAGAACACTCATTGCTGAAATTCGCACAGACATGAAGCTTCGAGGTGAATGTTCAGCAGAGGGACATGTAGTGAGAAAAAGAGAGCCACATCAAAAATCTGACATTTTTTACTACTGAAAGCTGTTTCATAATAGTATCTAGACTGTGACAGAGTGATTTTAAGGCCCAATCATCAGTCCTGGTGCTTATTATTCCTGTTGCAAAACTTACAAGACGAAAAAAAGAGGCTTGTAATAAACAAAAATATAATTCTACAAGCATTTCTTGTTATAGTCGAGGATTTGTTTTAGATCCTAAATCAGTTAGTCAATCAACTGCAGATCATGAGACAACTATTTTGATAATCAATTAATTGTTGTTTAATTGTAAATCATTTTTATTGAGAAAAGACAAACACATATGCTCTGGTTCCAGCTTCTCAAATATTAGGATATGATGCTTTTCATCATTATATATGCATTTATAATGTATACTGTATACTATACATACACCATAATGCACTGTATGCATACTGTTACTGTCTACAGTATTTGCAATTGTCAATCAAATATCTTTGCTTTTTGAAGAAGACTAGGGCACCAAATAATTATTTCTTATTATATATTAAGAGCCCAAAGTGACATTTTCAAAAAAAGATATTCAATTTACAGTTACATAAAACAGAACAAAGCCAGTAAATATTTACATTGGAGCAGTCGAACCAGTGGATTTTGGGCACTTTTGCTCAAAAGAGACAGAAACAATCAACTGGTAATCAAAATAGTTGCAATAGAAACCTGCTCAGCACATTTGTTGTTTTTTCCCCTCCAACTTTTATCAATTATGAAAACAATCATTAGTTGGAGCTCTACTGAATATCCTCTAGAGCTTTTTGGCATGTATATATATAGAAAGATACATAAACAAAATGTATATCTAATGTAATCAGTTCTAATGTTTGCTCTTAATCTGAAACAATGTTGACTATTTTGATAATCAATCAATTGATTGTTTCTGTCTCATTTAAGCAAAAGTGCCCAAAATCCATTGGTTCAACTGCTCCAGTGTAAATATTTACTGGCTTTCTTAGACTTTTCTGATACTAAAATGAATATCTTTGAGTTTTGAACAGGACAGACAATTTGAAGACATCCCCTTACATGATGACAATCAATCATAAAAATAGTCTACAGATTACGCAATAAAGAAAATACTTCTTATTTGCACTCTCTTGTCATAAGTCTTCTGCTTTTATTGTGTTTATGTTCTGGTTTTATGTACTTGTGGGACAATAAAGATCTCAACTGACCTAAAGTGACTGAATGAGTTACCATAACAGCATCACCAAATTATTTTAAATATTTGTTCTTAACACCACACAAATCACCACTTTTCAGTGAAACAAACTGCATCTGTTCCTGTTAAACTTCTGACAAATTGACCATCTTTATCTTATAGGCTTTATATTTGTTTTATTTACCCAGGCAACCAGAACATAGACTGTACCCATAAAATCCACACACACTCCTGTCAGTCCCAGTGTAGAAATAAAGAGACTGGCAGGCAGTGACCCAAGTTAAACAATACTGTAATGAGAGAAAATAATGTGTTATCCATTGTGTAGCTACATGACCACATACAGAGTCAGACCAGACAACTGTAATCAGAGTTGATCCACTTACTGTGTAGATCTGTTTTAATCCTATTGTTCATCAAAGCTTCTGGTACAGAAAAAAACCCCATCTAATTTACTAGATTGCGTTTGGTCCACCATAAAAACTAACCACCAGGCCACTTTAAAACTCAAATTTCCACTCAGACACCGGGTTTAGTGTCTTATTATCCCGGTTAAAGTTACACAATAAGAGAATTATACATACATGACCAGATAAAACTTTTAAAAGCAGCGTGTTTGAGCTGCAGGATACCTCAACGACACAGGATGGTCCGCTCAACTTTCCTCTTCTCTCTTCTGTGATCCGGTTTGTTGTTTTTTTCTCCCAGAGATGACTCTCTTTTTTTTAGAGTAATCTCAAACCCTTCGAGCTCATAGTTGAGTATTAAAGTGTTGAGTTTGTGCTGAACGGAGCTGAAGTCGATCCGCGGAAGTTGAGGGGGAGCAGAAGACTGGACCCGCTGCTGACTCAGATCCCTGGATTTTCTTTTTTTTCTTTCCTCCCACATTTTCTGTGCTCGGTCCCCTGCTGGAGAAAGAGAGGAATAGGAAAGAACAAATGTCTATCTATCTATCTATCTATCTATCTATCTATCTATCTATCTATCTATCTATCTTTATGTCTGTCTATGTGTCTGAAATGTATGTTCTTGATGTTCTTTTATTGTTTCTTTGCGTTTTTACTCTTTTTATTTATTTATTTATTTATTTATACTTATTTATAAATCTATGATAGGCCTTTTTTTTTATCTTATTTTGCTCTGTTTGTAGAGTAAAAGAGTAAAGATAAGACTGAGAGTAACACACAGGTCATTAAGAAAATATCAGTAAAATCGTCTGTAAAAATAAGCTTTTTCTTCTACATAGCTTCATTAAGTTACTGTTTTATAAGATGAGAGTCATATTTTTATACTTTTCATACTTTTCCATAACGTGTCCTTGTTTCTGCAATAAAGGAGGAAAAAAGTGAAAATACTTTAAGTTTTATTTAATACTTTTTTCCCTCTGTACGTCCATAAAATAGACCGACTACAGAGGGCGCTCTAAGCCTCTTCTTACTGACCTCTGCCTGGTTATAAACACAATTCATGTAGTGGAGGAAGAATTCAGATCCTTTTACCTTAAGTCAAAGTACTAATACCACACTTTAAAAAGTCCTGCATTAAAAGAGTTACCTACTAAAAACTAAAAGTGTGTAAATATAATCAGGAAAATGTACTTTAAGTATTTAAAGTATACTTAATGAAGAAAGATTTACCCTGTGACTGTTATATACTATTATTACTCATTTTACTGTTGTAGTTGGTTGAGGTACTTTGCAAAGGAATGCCACTAATGATTATTTTATTTTAATTATGGATTAATCTGCTGATTATTTTCTCTATTAACCGATTGTCAAATAATGGTTGTTTCCAACCAATAGTACAAAATTCTAAATCATTCATTTAAATTTAAAATAAGACTAAATTCTTACATTTGTGAAGCCTTGAAGTATTTTTTCATGAAAAAATGCAAATTATCAAAATAGTTGCCAATAGTTTTTCTGTTAATCGACTAATTGATTAATCGACTAATCATCTTGGCTGTATTTACTGTCTTAATTTTAATTATTTAATCAATTAGTTAAAGTAATTATTAACTAAAGCTGTCAAATAAATGAAATAAAAAAGTGCAATATTTTAGTAGAAGTATAAAGGAGCATAAAATGAAAATACTCAGATTCAGTGACCAATAGTTAATAGACCAATTGTTAAAGGCATACTATGCAGTTTTCCGGTTTTGTCAAACAGCTACCCCTAGAGTCGCTGCGGAGTACTTGTATTTAACGTTAACTGTCATAAATACCACTCACCAGAGCCGTCTCTATATACGGCATCTCTGCACTCACGGCCTGATCCCCTCCCCCCTGTATACCGGTACATGTTCAGTAGGATGGAAGCTCGGCCATCGATCAGGCAAAAATAGACTCCGAAGATGTCTACTGACCAGGTAACGTCTGAGTGAATGCCTGCTAGTGTCTTCCATTGAGGCTGCTTCTCATGTCGCTGATGTATGTGACGTCGCGCCGTAAAGCAATTTGTGATTCTCGCGAGATTTGGCGGGACGCCACCTTTCAGACTTGCATTGCTGGTTCTGCCAACGGCGTCCCTCTCCTGCTTTGCTATCGGGATGATTTGCTATACTAAGAGTTTGTTTACCATCGAAATGACTTCGAAGCTGTTATATTATGGCAAAAATCTTGCATAGTGTGCCTTTAATTTTAAACCCACTGTAGTGGTGGAAACTGAGTAGTGAATGTGAGTGACGACATGAATGTAAAACAGAAACCGAAACACGACAACAAACCCTGATCGGTAGAGTACATTACAAAGAATATACACCAACACCCCTGTGATTTGAAATACTCTTTTAATTCATGGTATCACTCAACCATCCAAAATACGGGGCTCCTAAAAAAACAGTTGTCACTTCAGCACAAGACACACTATCGTGGTTAAATGGTGGAATTGATTTACAATGTTTGTCTCAAAAATCTCTCTATTTGGCCCAGCTTTTACAAAAGTATACATATGTCATTCTGCACTATATCTATACTTCCTTATTATCTATATCTGTGCTTTGTTGTTAGGCTCTTTTCTTTTTTTTAAAAGGCACTGAGGTAAAGGCACTGAAGCACAGGTCAGACACATCTAAACTCCTGCCCATGTCTGTTTGGACTTTCTTGGCGTAGAATAGAAAGTGAAATGTACTGATCATTAGTTGTTTTTTTCACAATGACACTCAGCACTTGTGATTCATGGAATGATTAGATTAGGAAGCATTTAAAGTCCACTAACGGTGTTTACTTGTATTACTATTTGAAATATATCAAAAAAGGAATGCACATTTCAGGACATTATTTACAAAATGCTATATGCCCATTTCTGAGGAAAGAGGAGGACGAGGAAACACACCTTCATCTAAAGGTTGTCATTCAATATCCTAATGCACACAAGCAAAAAAAAGCCTACACAATGGGGATACTCTTGTATTATTACTCCACATTAAGTCTAACTACACATGATGCAACATCAGTACTGATTGTGCTACTGCCTGCTCTTATTTTGAAGGATTTCTCATGTGGGCCCACTTCCTGATGAGCTCAAGTGTCAGACTGTTAGATGGCAGGAAGATCCAGCTTCAGCCTCACTTGTGTTAAATACCAACAGATTTCACACATGAACCATATATTGTCCTGCGTTCTTGTGTGTTAACAGTTAAATTGACAACATTGTGTGTTATGTACCAGTTCAGTCACAGCTCAGTGTCTCTTCAGCCACAAATGGCATCATAGAGACGGAAAGAGAAGACGTACTGTACAGCATGTACACAAACTATTAAAGTGTGCGTCAGTTGCTGCTAAAATTCAAAGTCCAGAGTCGGAAAATCCCAGCTGGAAGGTTGTTCATACACTCAGGGAGGGGTCTACATGAGAACACTGCTCCCCACACAGATGTTTAAGATATAACAACATATGTTTAGGTTTAGGTTTAGTGTCAGCAACTGCAATATCACAATTAAAATGTTATCACACAGGTTTGTTTTTTGACTAATCGAGAGACAATTTCTGGGGAAATAAGCTTATTGGGAAGATTGATTTCTACTCTCGTATCTGTACACTAAAGCTACCACCAGCAGCTGGCTAGCTTATCTTAGCAAAAAAGACTGTAAAAACAAGAGGAAACAGCTAGCCTGGCTCACAATATACTTACAGCACTACAGCTGTACAAACTGAAGGTGCATTTCTGTTACCTTTGCTGTATTCCCTGGTTTCCAGTCTTTATGCTAAGCTAAGCTAATTGTCTGCTGGCTGTATAGTCTCCAGATATTAGTAGAAGGCTAATACTTCCAAATTCTGGAAAATATGCTTATATGCTTTGTTGCTGAGAGTTAAATGAAAAGACTGATACCACTTCTATGTCTGTACTTTAAGTATGTATAGCTTAGCTTAGCATACATTTGCATTAGAAACAGTCAGAAACAGTTAGCGTGGTTCTGTCCAAAGGTATCAAAATCCACCTACCAGCTCCTCTAAAGCTCATTAGTTTACATGTTCCTTTACCCTCAGTGTATAAAAAAATGCTAAGCTAAGAGGCTGCTAGCTGTAGGTTTATTTTTACTGTATAGACATGACGACTCCCCAAGTGTATTTCCCAAAATGTTGATCTATCCCTTTAAGGTTACAGGATAGCCTACTAAAAATGAATTGTAAATGCTAAAAATGGTAACATCTTTCAGGGTTTGAGAAATATCGGGTTTAACACAGAATTTTGGCTTCAATTAAAGCAGTGTTGCATTGTATTTCTCCCTGTGAAAAAGCCAAATTTCAGACTTTGTAACATGTCTGGAACACAGTTCCCGAACAAGGCTACAACTTGTTCCACCAAAAGTTGTTTTGGGGGGATTTGATCTTTGGCAGTGAGACACAACATAGGGAACCTGTCGTCACAAGGAGTAGGGTCAGTTACGGTTTGAGAAAGACAAAATGTGTAACCTCCCACCCTGAAAAAAAAACATAAAGCAGTCCTATAAACCTTCCTCAGTCAATCACTGAGAAACTTTCTGGAGTTGTTGTTCTGTCCCACAGAGCTCTTTTTACTCCAGAAGAAGTCAGCACGGAGCAGGCGGTAGAAATAAATCAGGATCATAATATTCATCACTATCATGGAGGCGAGAAAGTATCCACCGTGGTCCAGCCAGGAGTAGTTTTGGACGATGTACCAGGTGAGGTAGAACTGTGTGCACAGACGAAACGTGACGTAGGTGAAGAGGTTGGCGAATTTGTTGATGAAGTACATGTAGGAGGACTGAGCGCCCGCCAGCTTCAGCAGCAGCCTCAGATGCAGGGTGACGCTGTTGACCTCTACAAAGAGAGCCACTACAGCGCCGGCTACATACAGCTGAGTGTAGAGGGAGTAGAGGAAACACCAGATCACCTGAGGAAGAGGCAGACATTGTTAATAAAAGTGCTGCACAAAACAAGTTTCATTCTGTGGCCACTGTTTAGCAAAGTGAGATCAGTACGCAAGCAATTTAAATAATTTATCCACAGTTAAGTATGTGCAGTCTGAAAGTGCAAGTACATTTCATACATTTTAGTGTTCAAATAACAAATTCCTACAATTATAACAAATAAAATGCAATGTTTTCTGGCTCCACTGGTCAGAAAGTCAGTCAAGAGTCAGAAACCTTTTGTATAATATGTCTTTTTGTTAGTATGAAGAATATATATATTTGGATTGGTCCTATAAGAGTATGCATTTTAATTTTATTGTGTATTTTATCATACATTTATTTATTTTGAATAGTTGTAATTACACTTTCACAATAAACTGAATATTCTCATCTAAAATCACACTTCTATCAAAAAGAAAGAGTCATTGGCTCTGGAGTCAGCTTCTGAAAAGAGAAAAAAGCCCGGCTTCATCTTCATCAACAATCTAATCAACCTCACTAACTCACTTATCAGTCAGACAATGTGGGCTGAAAATAATTTAATTTATGGCGCTCACATCGAATGTCCCCATTACTCTCCAATGAAATCCATTCACAGTGAGGTCTGTGGATTATCCAGACTAACTGGGTTTCTGGAAATACAGGTTGCTGTTGATATGTATAGATAAGGTTTTTAAACAGCTGAATAAAACTGAAACTGTTTCTGGTGCTTCTGTACGAGTGTAAAGCTCATTAGCAGAAAACAAACTGCTGCCGGGTGAAAAAAATACAGACTAAAAGCTTTTTTATTCTTTAATCCTTACCACTAATGGTTTGTCCTGACTTGATCAGCATGCAACAATAACATGACTTTGACCAAATAATAAAGAGCTAATTAAGTTTTATGTCACTGCAAGTTTGGCTAATATACTGTATGAAACTAAATACCACTGTATGTAAGAAAAGCATATTCAAAGAGCTAAATATCTATGGTGTGTTTGCAAAGCAGTCATGATTAACTTTATGTTTCTGCTCTATTATCATTACAAATGAAACTCTCAAAATCAGTGTACATGCATTTTACGTAATTTAAACTACCTATATTTTTCAGCTGATAAACGATATACTATACATGATCCTGTCTGACGTGATGTTTTCAACCATAAAGCTATTTAAAGGTCTACATTTTAACGTGTTTCAGGAATAAACAGTCATGATGCACTTAAGATAACAGTTCGTCTCATGAGTTACAATGATCTGCCTAGTGGCAACATGCTGCATTCAGCTCAACTCAGGTTGCAAAAACAGCCTATTATTTTCCTGTAATTATTCTCCCCACTCAGGACTTGTTTGTTCAGTGGATACTTGATTAATAATTAAACGGTAGTCAGTAGAGACCGACAACAGCATATACAACAAATCTTTAAGCCCTAATGTACAACGCAGGTAATGTACGACACGACCGAATTGGCAGCATTTTACGTTTAGGTTATTCTCAGAGTAACACCTCACTTTGTTTTCCTCTCTGTCTTTTACATACGTGCAAAGCATTGTACCTGTGAAGATCACCTTAATATTAACTCTCTTTTGTTGAGTCTCGATATCTTATCTGAACCAGAAATACAACCTTGATAGAGTTAAAAATGAAAACATGGCCACGCCTTACCAGTGCATGATGGACTAGGAACTCCCATGACCCTCTTGCATGTCCTGTCAGGATAATATCTCCTGCATCTTGCACAAAGTATCCTAAGAGGGGAAAGTCATGTAGGGTGAATCAGCAGAATAAAAATGAGGAATTTCAGCTTTAAGAGACAACACGTGGATGAAATAATCTCTTAGATACTATTCCTTCAACATGTTCCCAACATGACAGAATGTTTTGTCCAAATTAACAGCAGCTTTAAATTCACAGGAGGGTTTTCACGTGTGTCTTATTGGTGACATTACAATGCAGGATTTCCCCTGTGTCACTTGTTGTTAATCAGCCGGTCATAAAGAGACATTAACTAATCTGACAGCAGAGTAAAATGTCTCTCTTCTCCATTATTTTTAGAAAATGCCAGCTAAACAATTCACAACATAACCACAGCTATTAAACTTTGTAGGCCTCATTTAGCTGGAAGAATTCAAGTGACTCAAGAGTCCTTCTGTGCCTCTGTATGACTGGCACGCTGCGGCTACACAACCAGCCCCTGTCTTAAAGAGCATGACCTCCAGTATCTGGCGGGGTTGGCCTCAGTGGAGCTAATAGCTGTTTGCGGTTGTTATGGCAGATCTCCACAGATTTGTGTCTTCATGGTAACACAAAGATGCGCATAAGACCCAACCTCATCAGAGCACAGCTCAACCAGACCACCGAGTCCTTAGTGGATTATCTTTGGTGTCCATGGTGATGTAGAGACAACGCCCGTTTTGTCTGTTCTGAGAATCAGGTGAGAGGGGCGGATCTTGTTCTCTCTTTGAAATTTCACACCTTGTCTTTCAGGGTTCAGTTCAGCTCAAGTGTAGAGAAGAAAATGTTGTCAATCGAAACCTCTCTTGCATTTCCCTCTCATGCATTAAACCAGAGCAGAGTGGTCGATTAATGGTTCTAGCTCCTCAAAAGTGAAAATTTGATCCTGTTCTTTGTAATAAATGATATGTCTTTGAGTTTTGGGCTGTTATTTAAACAAAATGACATATGAAGACACTACTTTGTTCATTGAGAAATTGTACTTTTTCCTGTTTTCTGATATTTTAATGAAAAAACCAGTGACCAAGAAAATAATCTGCATATTGACTGATAATTAAAGTAATCCTTTGTTGCAGCTTTACATTGAACACTGTGACCAAGTAGATCTTTAGACTACAGATCACCTACATACATACATAGAAATTTCTGTGTACCAAAAAAACAAAAATGCATTCTGTATGTGACATCTTTGCAGTTGTAATCCTTCTCCACGATGCGTTTACTGACCTGTTGAGACACAGACGAGCAGGTAGGACAGAGGGGTGTGGTAAGAGTGGATGTTGTTCAACGTCTCAGGCCAAACCACCACACTGGAGAGGGATACATGTTATGGATAGATGGGTCTGTATTCGGCTCACTCAGACATACATGCGCTCACTCCTGGAGAGAAAAGCCTGACTAAGCAAAGACATTAATATCAGGTGTTTTGGCTTTTTCAACCCCCTGACCAAAGATATCTCTCCTGTTTGTAGTTTCAGAAATTGATCATTTTAATACTATTTACTATCTAGTTTCTATCTGTGTCCATATATAAAAGTCTAAAAATAGACTTTGCATTTTTCTGTGTGACTTCCTGCTGCTGTGAGGTAAAAGGGGCACACCTCAAACAGCCAAAGCTTCTGTGTCCCCTCCTTGTATAAACATACCATGGCAGAATTATTGTTAATAAATGGCCTATAGTCTTTCTGTGACATGTGAAGTAGTGTACTGTTTAACATGTTGCTTTGGCACACCTTTGAGTACACAAAAACTTTGAACTTTTGAATGTGAAAACGAGCTTCTTTCACCCCTCAATCGTTACTAATTCACAATGTCACACATTAAATGCAGCAATAGTAACATGAGAGTACAGACAGCTCAAAGAATGTGGTCCCACCTTGTTAACGTTAAAAGATGAGTCACAAGCATAGGTCCCCGCCCCCAAAAATAGTTTCCCATGATGCTTTCACAAGAAAGCCAGCAGCCAGCAGGTTTTTCCAGTTGATACCATATATCTGTTGTCTGAAAGTAAGCTAGAAAAGATTTGTTTCTTTACACACGTTCTCCAGTCCAAGCAAATGGCGAAAACAGCCTTGTGTGGCTCATACTGCCCAGTGGCATTTCCCTCCCCACTTATAAATGCCATTGTCTCCCCCGTCCCTTGCCCTGTCTGAACATGCCCTTCTTCTCCTGGCTGCCACAGGCTGTCACTGCTGGACACACACACACACACATCCCCACACATAACACATCATGTGGACTGTGAATAGACAATGGTGTCCCAGTGTGGACAGACAGATGTTTTGATGGAGACTTACCAGGTCAGGGCCCATGCCCCAGTCAGCAGGGAATGCACCATTGAGACGGAGAGGTTCCTCCACTTCCAGGAATGGAGGTCATTCTGCTTCACCACCTTGGGCACAGGCAGCCTTTGCAGCAACTGGTGGACCACCCTGAAAAGCAGAGAGCACACCAGTACTGCCAGGCCTGGGTGACTCTTCAGCACAGGAATCAGGGCGTCCATCCTCCCCACCCCTGCTCTCCCTCTGTCCCTGGGCGCTTGCTTTTACTCTCTACCTCCCTTCGTCCTTTCCCCCTCTTTTGTCTTTTTTCGCGCTTCTCTCTCCTCGGCCTAGTGATGGACAGATATGCACGGTAGGCCTATGTCATGGGAGTGTACTCCAGGACAGGGGTCTGCAGAGAGAGCTGATCCTGTTGTTTGTTTGTTTTTGTTTTTGTTTTTTGTTTTTTTTTAGAAAGCAGATCTGATGTCCGAATGCTGCTGGAGCCTTTTTCTTGTCACGTTTCCAGCGTGCCGAGCCCGGAGGGAAAGTCTTGGAGGGGATCCCCGTCGCAGCTCATTCCAGTGCGACGGTGTTTGTCTTTACGCAGCGCCTTGCGATGTTGCAATGTGCCGCCGCTCTCAGCCCGCCTGTCTGTGCAGAATGAAGGTGGGAGTGGTGGAGAGGGAGCGGGGCTGTTGCTGCTGCTGCCTTTAACCAGAAACAAGGAGGGGCAGACTGCGATCAAGTTACGCAAGTGACAAAATCACGGAGCATAGCTGCAGTGCCGAGAAGTGATTTGGGGTAAGCATGTCGGAAAAATACATAGCCTATAGAAATGTTAAATAGCTTCACTGTAAATGGCTGCCTGCGCACGCAACGCGCTGTGCGTAAAGTCCCCTTCTCGCTGCCTCACGCATTTAATTTAATAATAACAACAATACTAGCTCTAACAATTATCTCCAACGCAGGATGTGTCTCTTTTGTCACTAGCCTAAACGACTATAACATAACTACTGATCTATAAGCTGATGTCCACAGTATTTGGAGCAGGGAAATCTGTTGTGCTAGTGGTGGATGAATTATACAGATTATTATTTTGAGCACATTCTATATTTACAAATCTTATTTTTTTAAGCAAAAAGCCCAAACTTTTAAGAGCTCATTGTCCGTATCAAATAATACACTTTCAATTCAATTCAGTTTTGTTTGAATAGCGCCAATTCATAACAGAAGTAATGTCAGGACACTTTTCAAATAGAGCAGGTCTAGACCGAACTCCTTATAACATTATTTACAGAGACCCAACAGTACCACCATGAGCAAGCACTTGGCGACGGGGGGAAGGAAAAACTTCCTTTAAAGAGGCAGAAACCTAGGACAGATCCTTCGGCTCTAGGTGGGTGGTCGTCTGCCTCGACCAGTTGGGGGGGGGAGACAAAGGTGCACAGCAACAACAGTAGCAACAACTACTACTAATAGTAGTGACTGATGATGATGAACATGAAGAAGACAACGACGACAACAACGATGGTAGACAATGAGTAGTGATTATAGTAATAATAGTAACTGTAGTAATAATAATAGTAATAATAATAATAACAATAATATCAGTAATATTAGCAGTGGGAGTCAAGCAGTACCATGGCAGGAGGCTCCACCAGGATCCATGAGAAGCTGCAAGACGAGAAAGCACAAGAACTCCGAGGAAGAAGTGAAGGTAGTAACATGCATTAATGGGACATGAATGAGTGCAGAAAGAGAGAAAGAGGAAGAGAGGAGCTCAGTGCATCATGGGAAATCCCCCGATAGTCTAGGGCCTATAGCAGCATAACTAAGGGATGGTTCAGGACTCACCTGTATCACCTCCTCTGTATCTGAATGTACAAACAAAAAGCAGTTAAAACGTTTAGACTATTTTAAGCTTTATAAAATGTTTATTTATGGAGATACTTGGAGAGTATGGAGATACTTAAGTAAAGTACCAATACCTCAAATCTGTACAGTACAGTACTCTCTACAGTACTTCACTGCTGAAGTTGGGAGGTGGTGTACCACAAAGGCTAAATGTACGCCACAACTAGGCCACATATTTCACAAACATGTTTTGATGATACACAACTGTATTTCCCCCTTAAACCAGGTTATTCTATTAATGTAGTCAGACATTTGAACTGACTTTCTGATCCTTTAGTTTGACAGCATGTGTTCAGGGTGTTTTTCTTTAGCTGAGGACAATAGTTGAATTAAATAACAACAGTGTGGGATTTTAAGAAAGTTGGCGCCTGCAAATCTCTGTATTCTGACCGAGGGCAGAGGTCAGTTGCTTGCCTTCATCCCATTTCTAATTTGTTTGTAATTATTTTCCTTATTATAATCATGTCTTACTTACTTGACCACATGCACTCCCTCAAGGGGATATAAAAGTTCACTTGTGACTCAACTCAAGTTGACTCACAGCATTCATAGCATTAAATACATTTAACACATTAGATGATCAAATACAGAATTAGATTTTTATTTAGGTCCACTGGTGAGGAGGTCAGCAAGAAGCGCTGTTACTGTAAATATAGATTGATAATATAACCATACCCATCTTTGTTATGTTTGGAGCAAAACAATATAAGTCTGGTATGTTAAACAGGCAGCCCAACAGTAACACCCTCCTTCCTTGGTCATAACTCGTTCCATAAACACAGCGTGGCTCACATTCCCCACAGCCGGCCCCTCTGCTGTCCGGTGGGGGAAAAGGAAGTGAGCTGAGCAAAAGTCTGCAGCTAAGACCCTTCACCTGCACCACAGCTGTGAAATATAAACCCACACACCAGGAGTTTACTTTTTTTTTTTTACCCATAACTTGTAACATTTTCTTCAGTTAATTAATAACTGATGTATTCATTTAATCATATGAGAGGTGTTATAGTTTTGTGTTTTTCATTAGTTTTTATCTTTTATTTCATTTTTCAGTTCAGTTTAGTTTCAGTTTAGTCTCCAGGGATGGTTTGCTTATTTCATTTGAGTTTTTATGGTTTTTGTCGGGGGGGAAGATTTAAGACGTTCAGAGTAGGTCTTACAATACAAACACAACACTGAGTTAAGGTTATTGATTCACAGTCACATAGAAATCCAAGTTTTATGCTTACTGAGTTGACAAAGACTAAAATTAACACAGATAGTTTTGCAAGTACACAATTACTGTTAGTTAGTTTTTTATTCATATGTTGATTTCTCACATCTGTTCCACATGTACTAATGGACTGCATGCACTATAACAAAAACACATTTACAGTACATTAAAATACTTTCCCTAAATCAAAACGGACAGTGTCCTTATACAACAGAGTTAAAATGATCTCTTCAGTGACGCAGATTCAGGCCAGGGATCTTTATTGCATGTCACCAAGATCCCTCTCTCCCTTTATTTCCTGTTACCTCGACTTAACTTCTATCGAATAAAGGCAAATAAATTGTGATTGATTGAGTGATTGATATGGGACATTGCTGTGACCTGTTAAATGTTCCATGTCAATCACATCTGTAGATAAAAAAGCTGTAGAAAGTGAACATAATACTATCTTGTATTTTTCAATTGTATTTTTTTATTTAATGTGTATTTTCTCATCTGTTGTGTTGTATCTGGAGCGGCTGTAGCAAGAATTGGTATTTCTTATCTGATCTCATCAAATAAAGGCAAATAAAGAAGCAGTTATCATAGCTCGAGTCTGCCCCCTACATTCAGGATGAGTATAGGTTATAGTTTTGAAAATACACCACGAGATGGCAGCAAAACCTCAAGTGAAGAACAAACATCTCACACAGACAGATTCTGTTTTTCAGCTCAGTGGTTTTCAGTTCTCCAACAAACCACATGGGGGCGTCTCTCTGCTGAAAACCTCCAGGAAGACCCACCTCTCTGGTGTGCTGATTGTTGAGACATGCTAGAAAATTCCCCGTGATTAATTAAAGCTGCATTTCTTTTCATGTCAAGTTGCACCGCTCTTACAGTAATAATTGCAAATGGAGTTAATTACATGAGTGTTTGTGTGAGAGAGAGAGAGAGAAAAAAAAAAGACGAGGAAGAAAAAAGGACTGAATATGTGTTATCAGTGTCAATAGGCCTAATGCTCCTTTCTTTTTTGCCAAAGTATGAAACTTCAAGCATGAAACATGAGCCATATAATTATTCTACTTTCATCCATTGAGTACAGGGCCCTCTGTAACAGAACACCCTGCGGTTAGACTGAGAATTGTAACTTAATACCATTTCTTGTGTCTCCCGGTTGCCTCACTGTGGTTATTTTGTTCTTGTGTGAGAGAATGAGAGGCGTTTGCTCTCATAGTTTTATCATAGGAACCTGTAGTTCCTCACAGCTTCGTGTTTCCAAAAAAAAAAAAAAAAAAAAAGGTTTCATACCGTAGTGGCTGCTGCTGCTGCTGCTGTTGTTGTTGTTGTTGTTGTTGTTGCATCCAGGCCAGAAGGTCCCCCAGTATCATGTGAGAATCTTTGTGCCTGGCTCAGCACTGAACCATATTGATCTTTGGTGTTTTTTTTCTTTCCTCTGAGGGCTGCTGAGAAACGGCCACTGTGGGGACTCTGCGAGCAGCCGATAGAGAAAAAATCTCTGGGTTAATTGATTTCCAGAGAATGCGTCATAAATAGCCAAACAAAAATAGGTCCTGTCTTGGACAGCGGAAGATTCAGTTTCTTTCTATTTTCTATTGTACGTTCTTGAAAAGTATATATTAAAGGTCGAGTGTGTAACATTTAGGCGGATCTATTGGCAGAAATATAATATAATATTAATAGGTATAGGTTTTCATTAGTGTATAATCACCTGCATAGAGGATTTGTTGTGTTTTCGTTACCTTAGAATGAGCTGGTTTTATCTACAGATGCCGTGGGTCACCTTCCATGGAGTCCACCATGTGGAACCGCCACGTAGTAGCCCAGTTGGAGCCTTACGCATCATTTGCAAGTTTCTTGGCCACAATAGTTTGTCCTGCTCTTTTCACAGACTATTTGTAACCCTCAATGCGTCGTGTTTGAACAGTTACAGGTGTTAGAAAGAATGGTCCAAAATAAGTAGAATATTTTATAATATTTTATAAAATGTATGTAGAAATGATCTAATAGTAATTAATTACTAAAATAAACATCCAACAAGATACATCAAGTGAACAGTGCAAAGCTTAAAAAGCAAGAAAAAAATAATAAAATACCAATAATCACGCACATACGATATATATAAATATACATATAAATACACACATACATATATACATATCTTAGTGAGTTAAAATAAAACAATGAGAAAGCCATTGGATAAAAGGTTTTTTTTTAATCTTTATCAGTTTCAGTGGCCTGAAATCTTTGCAAAGGCGATGTAGAAAAGCACAGGTGTTATAACATTAACAATCCTCCTCATTCATTTTATAATTAATTATTATTGTTATTTATTTGTGCCTGTGCTTTTCCAGGTTCTATGACCTCTCATTATGTGTGAAACAGTGTGAAACATGTCTAAGATAAGAGAATCAGGTGAAAGCAACCTCACCCACAACTTCCTGTCATGCCTTGCAAAATCTCAAGAGATAAATGGCTCCTCATTCATGGGTTCATACCTGGGGTTTAGCATCAGTTTCACTATCCTACACAGAGCATTCCTGGTCACTGACTATTACATCTGGAGACAGATCTAATGATGACAGGAGACAGGCCAAATATGTCACTAAGCTAGTCTGAGGAGTGGCATATATACTGCATGGCTCCTTCAGGTGTACCTTTGTTGAGATATTATACCCCTGAGAAAAGAGCAAACTGTTGTTTGTTACACCACCTACTCGCCTAGCTTCCCTCCACCTAACTTCATTTTAAAAACTGCAAATTGTAGAGAAAAGGTTCAATTACACAAAGATCACTGTTTGTGGTGATATATCATTATTTCAGACTGATGATAATAGTGGAGGTATGTACTTCAGCACAACACAGAGCAGGCTTTGTCACAGCACAAAGCATTTATTATCCCCACCGTGGCAGAAAGGGGAAACAGTGCTCATGCAGCCTCCTTCCTGCTTATCTCAGACAAGAGGAAGGCGCTTTATAATCATCAGGCGTCTGAATGTAAGACTACAGCATGTGAAGTCCATGCTCAAGACGCTACAGTAATTACATCTGTCTCACTGTTTCTCTCACTGTCTCCATTTGAGTTTCCCCTGACTTAATATGTTTCCTGGCACAATTGTTAGACAACACTGTAAATGCCTTTTTCAAGTCAGTACACAGTAAATCATATAAAATGTACTTGTACTTTTCAGAAAGGAGATGATGTTGGTTGGACTACAAATACTAGCAGGACAGACTTCATACTGTCAGTGGAAAAAGTGGAAATTAAATGATTAACTAAATTAAGCTGCTTTCTTTGTCTTTTTCAGTGTCCACTGTGGCTGCACGGCTGTACACTTTCTGATGGTTAAAGAAAACATTAAGAGCCCACTCAGAAATAGTGACTTTAGAAATATGCCAAGTAAAGGTAAGCAAACAATTACAGGAGTAAATATATTACCAGAAAAATGTATCGTAACAGGTCATGATACTAAAACAGAGGGAGGAAAATACAGGGGGAGGAAGAACTGCTATTTATATTTTGACAATTAGACTGTAATAGCCCAGCCGTAAATAATAATGAATGATGGCTGCAATTCTTTTAGCTGCTTCGGTTCCAGGGTAACAGGCTGGCTCACTGCCACACTGTCATGACTTACTGAGAAGAACTGAACCATCAGTAATGTTACTACTAAAAACCTATGCTAGGTCTACAGTATTAATATATATATATATTTATATATTCTTCTCTGTCTGGTTAGGATTTGCTCTCCAAACCATTGTTCTCATTAAAGCACACAGGGAGGCGTAAAATCAAATTTGTTGCTTGTGCAATATTCCTGCTTAATTTAATATAATTACATTTTTATTATTTAAGCATCTTGCACATTTTTGCATTGTTGTTTTATTATGATTTACTGTATGTTGTATATACAGGAATAATAATAAGGCAGTTTTTGTACTTTTTGGTTTTGTCTGTACTTTTTATTTTTTGTTTGTTTGTGCCTGCAAATCAAGTCTCCCATATCGGATAATAAAATGACTTAACTGAACTAAACAGGGAGAAGAGTGGAGAAAAATATATAGTTGTATCTAAATGTCTTCCTCTGTATCTGAAAACATTTATTTTTTTAAATATATGTCTCCAACAGTAGTCATTACAGTTACGTCTGTGAGCTGCTCTTTGAGTCTGGCAGTTTCGCTTTGTTTGTCCCTCCTCCCTTCCTGTAGTACTGGGCACGGGTTGCCTGGAGACGGCGGAAACGTTTGGGAGCAGCGATGGAGAAATATGAGAAAATCAAAGTTGTCGGAAGAGGAGCTTTCGGGTAAAAACTCTGAGTTTACTTACACTTCATTACATATATAAGTTAAATATATGTATAGTAGAAAACACGGAGTTGTCAAAGCGTGTAGTTAGAAAGCTGAAAGTCCGGGAGGGCCTCAGTTTTTACCCCAAAATGTGACCTTAATAACGGGATGCGTCAACAGAAGAAGACTGGAAAAGCTTTGAACAGACATTATAAGAAAAAGTGTGTTTAAAAAGCTCGTTAATGCTAGTTGTGTGATAAATCTGAAGTCACACACTGTGTTTTCTAATTTCCGAACAAACTTTTGTCAACTACAGTTTGTGTAGGGTTGTAAGATAACGTTAGGTTGTTATTTAAGGAGAGGAAGTTGTTGGATAATGTCTGCAAGATGCGACATGAGATTAACAACTATACGCTGGTCTGGAGCTGGATTTAGCTATCATACAGTTGAGCAGATTTATTTAAAACTATTTAGAAATTAGCGAAATATCAAAAACTGTACAATGAAGCCAAACAGTGAACTCGGTAGCTGCAAGATGTTTGTGTAAAACGAGTGATTTGGATGAATTTTGTGCAGATTATTATTATTATACAGTTCTCTGTCAGTATTATGTACTTTCTTCATCATTTTGAACAAACTTAATAGGCTTCTTCTTTGACAAATCCAGTGTTTTCCCCTCCCTGGTGCTTGGCCATTGTTGTATTAGACAATTAACTTTATTTTACTTTACATTTCTTCACAGAAGTAAACCAAACACTGAGATATAGGCCCACTGTGTATGTTTTTGAAGTTTTCTTACACCCCTTAAAATCAAGAAGGCCTCGCGAAACCCCCGTAAAGCTTTGTCGACCCCCAGGTTGAGAGTCACTGCTGTACTGTATAAGTGTACATTTTAAAAGTGGTACCTGAGTAAAGTACCATGTACATAAAATACTGTAATTTCAGGGTCATTTCAGGGTAACTTTCTGAATATTACATTACAAAGTTAATCTGTGGATTTAAAAGGTTACACCAAACACTCATAAGGTACACTTATAACATAGCATATGAGTTTTAATGACATGACAGGAACGTGTCTAAAAGCGTTATTAACTTACTGTAACGTGCAGCAAATGTAAATCTGTGTTTTTGTACATCTTTGTCTGTGCTGAATGTGTAGTGATTGTATTTGAAAATCAATCTCTGATGTTAATATATATATATATATATATATATATATATATATATATATATACTATATATACATAAGTAAAGGACACCAGTACTTTTACACCACTGACTCACTGTCATACAACTTTTCTTGGCATGTCTTCTCTCTTCAAATCAGACAAAATGCCAGTAACAGCTCAGTAACACTGGCACACCAGATCAGCCTGCTATATTGTTTATGGGACAAAAAATAAATCTGACTTTTCTTCATTTCCCTCCCCTGTCAGGATCGTTCACTTGTGCCGCAGGCGCAGCGATGGGGCCTTTGTCATCCTGAAGGAAATCCCAGTGGAGCAGATGTCACGAGACGAACGCCTGGCAGCTCAGAACGAGTGTCAGGTCCTGAAACTGCTCAACCATCCAAATATTATAGAGTACTATGAGAACTTCCTGGAAGACAAGGCCCTCATGATAGCTATGGAGTATGCGCCAGGTAAGCTTACTGTAATATCTTATTACATGACCCCCTTTTGTTCATTGTTTGGTACACTTTTCCCATAGCTGTAGGGCTGTAGGGCTCCATACCTTTTCTCGTTCCCATGTCAGTCCTGGGACGGCCAAATGAGAACATCTAATACCAGTTAGTGTGGTGGTGTTTTGAGGGACAATGTGATCCGGTAACTGCAATATTCAAGGTCTAATGTAAAAAAGGTAGATTGATTCAAAACTCTGCTGCAAGACCAAGAGCTGTTATTCACTGAAATCCTTAAATAAGGAGCTTTAAGCTGATAAGACTGATATACTGACATTTATTTGGTATATAAAAGAGAAATACAAAGTCATCCCATATCTAAACTCTTACAACTACCTTACATCACTTGGCGTGTTTTATTCTCATTGCTTTGTTTTAATCATTCAACTGTCACCCTGCCACCCTACAATTGTTGTAGTTGCTAAGTTTGTTTTAGGTTTTAAAGGCTTAAACGCACTTAAACAGGCACCAAAAGTGATGCGCCTCTAATGCTGTTGGTGCATGTTGGGTCATTTAAAACACAGGTGTACTTTAGTCTTGGACTTGTGTTTATTGTGTCATCCTTTACATTTCTGTAGTTGTCTATGATGTAATGTCCTCTTTAGTGCCTCAGAATCTAATTTAAACCAAATTAAACTATACTAAATACCATTTTATGTTACATTCCTGGCTTTGGTAAAATAGTTTGGTAAGATCCTGTTTCCTGAGATTGAGGCAAATCATTGAAGGAGGATGTAGAGTTTTGTTTTTTACATAGTTTTGGGGACTTTTATTGCCTTTGATTCATAAAAGCTGAAGAGTGACAGGAAAGAGAGAGAGGGGATGACACGCAGCATGAGGTGCCAGCTCCACCAGGGGAGCTACCAGGGCGCCCAAATAAAAAACATATTTAATAATATTACACTACATGATTTTGTAGATCCTTTTTTGTTGACATTAACGTTTCACTTGTGCAACAAGAGCTCTGAACTTAAAGTCTGTTAAATCCATTACTTATTGGCTTTGATATCATCATCTCACTGCTATTTACTCAACCCAGTAACTTAATGGATTTCTAGGATATTGCGTTTTTATTGAACATGAATCATCTCTATTGTTTTTATTCTTGTTTTCTTCATGTAGGTGGAACCTTGGCTGATTACATACAGAAACGCTGTAACTCTCTGCTGGACGAGGACACCATCCTTCACTTCTTTGTACAGATCCTACTTGCCCTGTATCACGTCCACAACAAACTTATTTTACACAGAGACCTTAAGACACAGAATATTCTTCTTGACAAACACCAGATGATTGTCAAAATTGGTGATTTTGGCATCTCCAAAATCCTTGTCAGCAAGAGCAAAGCTTACACTGTGAGTTGATTTGCTTCTGGTTACTTCGACATACATGATACAGTATTATAATCATCTATCAAATCAATGCTTCCTTTTTTTTTCACTCTGCAGGTGGTCGGGACCCCATGCTACATCTCCCCAGAGCTGTGTGAGGGAAAGCCCTATAACCAGAAGAGTGACATCTGGGCTCTGGGCTGTGTGCTCTATGAACTGGCGAGCCTTAAGAGGGCCTTCGAGGCGGCTGTACATAAAACATTTTCTTTACAAAATCCCTCGCTTACTTGGATATAGTGATTTAAATAATACTTTTTTGTGTTAACTTTTGAACTAGTATCACTTTAATTCAATATGTACTGCAGAAAAGATGGCTGTGCACAAAGGCAATGAAACATAACAACCATCAGAGCTACGCTATGTACACCATGGGAGATGGATTCTTACAATTTCTCAGAATATTTGATATGAAGACCCCAGGCTGTCTCATGTTTAATTCTAAAGCAGATTGCTGGGGCTTTTGATTTTAACACAAATCAATAATTCACAAAATTTCACATAAATTTAGCTTGCTCTCGAATCTGTCTTCACTGCCAATTCCGTGTGAAAATATGAATGTGAAAATCTGAATCCTTTGGCAGGGGTTTTGGGTAGGGAGTATATATTTTCACATATATATAATGCATTATGTCATTTTACTCGATAACACTCTTTAATTTTGCTTTCAGAATCTACCCGCCCTCGTTCTTAAGATCATGAGTGGGACATTTGCTCCAATTTCAGACCGCTACAGCCCCGAGCTCCGACAGCTCATCCTCAACATGCTCAATCTGGATCCATCCAAACGGCCTCAACTCAATGAAATAATGGCTCTTCCCATATGCATCAGGCCCTTGCTTAACCTCTACACTGATATAGGCAATGTCAAAATGCGCAGGTAATGCCTAAATACATGACTAATTTGTAATGAGTTGTTTCCTTCTTCTATATTTTAGTAAAAACTCACCTCCTCTGGCTTTTTCCAGGATTGAGAAACCACTGTCTACTGTGCAAACCGGTACTCAAGGTAGACCTGGAGGGAGAGTTCCTACCAACAGGTCTAGAGGTCAGGCACATAATACCAGTATTTGACAACAGAGCTAGCTGTACCAGGTTGGTTACAGAACATTAATTTGAAATTTGGTGGGTATTTCTTGGGCTCAAACAGATGGATCAGTCGGTTTAGGATCAGGGAAGGTGCATTCCCTCCCGCTGTCCTCTGTGTATACGTGGGGAAGTGGAATCTCAGCTCCTCTCCGCCTGCCGATGCTCAACACTGAGGTGCTTCAGGTGTCTCTGGGCCGCACTCAGAGGATGGGGGTGACTAAGTCAGGCCGTCTGATTACATGGGAGGTTTGTATAAACCCTTTTTTTTTTGACTGAAAAAAACAAAGCTGCTTATATACCTCCCTGTCTCTTTCATGTTCTAAAATGTTGATTTTGTGATAGCTTTGTGATGTTTTTTATGTGAAGCAACAGATTGTAGCAGTGTGCCCAAGACAAAGAACAATAAAGTTTAGTAGTAATGCATTCTAAAGGAAAATCCTCCCTGTAACCGTGACCCACTATCAGAGAACAGCTGTGGTCTACTCTGCACTCCTGGGTCAAGTTGTTGATGCACAATGATGTATTTTACTTTTTTATTTTATTTTTCTGGCCAAATACAGTATCAAAAATGTGAATTATTTAAAAAAATCTGGTTTGCCCCTCAGAGAGCTTCTTAGTTAACTTCTTCTAGTAAACTCAAAGACCACATTAGAGGGGAAGAGACAAATGCAAAATTCTACACCAGCAGTTGTATCAGTGCAAATGGTCACAACCAATTTACTAAAGCAGCAATTGTAGAGGATGTAAAGTTAAATGTGGCTGTCTGGGGAGTATGGGTACTTAATAATAAAGTAACTGCTGGAGGGCATTGAACATCACACACTGTTGGTCCCTAATGGTGTATCATAGAGTGGATTTTTCCATTAACATTTTTTGTTGCTAATGTTTTCCAGGAAGGAGTCACATTCTCACTCTTTTGCCCCCATTAAGACTAATGATAATTTATTGTCACAGGCTCCATCAGTGGGATCAGGTGAGGCCAGTCTGCCCGGTGTGGTGGAGCAGATGCAGCCTCAGTTCATTTCACGTTTCCTTGAGGGTCAGTCTGGAGTCACCATCAAGTCTGTGTCCTGTGGCGATCTTTTTACCACTTGCATGACAGGTTGGTGGGCCGTTCCGCTTTGTATAACCTTTGGAGGCATCACATTTGTGCCCAGTGAGCTTAGTAGGAAGGAAATCAGTGTTTATTCTCTGTTTTCTGCCTTAACACACTGCACCTCATGAGCATTTTAATGTACATATGAAAGTGTGGATACAGTCAGCTCTTTTTCTGTGACTTAATCAGATAGTGTGGCTCCACTTGTAAAATAAATGTCTGCATGCTTGCGTAGCAGTTTGGAAGTTGTTTCTCTTTAGCTCAAACTGTGGTTCTGTCAGTCAGTGCACTTTAGGAGGCTGTTGTCAGTCCGTCCAGCATTGCAAAGCAGATAACACAGGATTAAAGACCCTTCCTCTCAGCTCAGTTGCCTCTTTTTCATCACGTTTCACTGTAGTGACGCAGATTAGCGTTTCCTAGATAGGGATTAGACGCACTCTATTAGTCCACATAAGAATATACCCACACAACTAATCAACTAATAGTGTCTTTAATCCCTTCTTTTTATTTTCAATTTGCAGACAGGGGCATTATCATGACGTTTGGAAGTGGGAGTAACGGCTGTCTAGGACACGGCAACTTCAATGATGTAACACAGGTACATGTCCACCATAAATGTAAACCCAGTCACCAGTTTATTAGATACACTTAACTAAAGCAGTCTATTTATTTCCTTTTAAAGATTTTTTTTGTTAATTAAAAAGAACATAAACTGTAGTATATTGATTCCTTTTCTTTTTGCTTTGATGTATCTTAAGATCCTGTAAAGGTTTTCCCATATACAAAAATGGATTAATCTGTAAGTAAGATAAAGTATTTCTCTTCATTAAGGTAGTTGTTTTACAACACTGCTGCATTAGACTGTATTAGTTTTAGCTAGGTGTATCTGATAAACTGGAAGCAGAGTGACCTTTTCCAGTATTTCTCTAGTATGTTAACAGATCTACAATATAAGTCAGTACCTAGCGTTAAATAATGTGCATTAATACATCCATGTGTCTCCCAAAGTTTGTCTTTACTGACTGGAGGTTTTTGCTTCAGTCTGTGTGCAGCAGATACTGTGAATGCTATGATTTGTATTTCCTGTCTTAATATGTGAGGAAAAGCCCTAAATTATGGCAAACATGCCTTAAATTAAAAAGTCCCTCGACTGAATCCAACCAGGGATTTTGCAAAAGTAGAAAAGATAAATTCCTGCACACTGTCAAACTGACAAAACATTAATTCACAATGTTTTGGTCCTGCATCCTGCAGTTATGTTGTATACCTAATAATGATTATGTGTCCCTGTAGATATTTTATACAAATCTGTGATATAAACATTACAATGATGACATTTCTTTCCCCTCTCTGTTTTTATACTCAAGCCCAAAATAGTTGAGGCGCTCCTCGGCTATGAGCTGGTTCAGGTGTCGTGTGGTGCTTCCCATGTACTCGCTGTGACCAATGAAAGAGAAGTATTTGCCTGGGGAAGAGGAGACAATGGTATCGTAAATTAACTGGTTCTTGAACTCACTCAATCTATCTTGGCTATTTTTGGTGTTTGTTTGTATCAGACTGATTTATGACTTACATCATGAATCACATCAGCACACAGCTTGATTGTTGGGTCTGTGTTTCTGTTCCTGTGTCTCAAAGGTCGCCTCGGGCTAGGCACCCAAGACACCCACAACTCTCCACAGCAGGTATGTTTACCTGTGGAATTTGAGGCCCAGAGGGTGGTGTGTGGAGTTGACTGCTCGATGATTATCAGCACCCAGCACAGCATTGTGGCATGTGGAAGCAACAGGTAGTTACTCCATATTCTCACACCCGAAACTGTGGTCATTAGTCTCTGTAAACATGTCACTGTCTGACATGAGCTAATAATCACCTGTGAAACATTTCAGTTCACATTTAATGAGAAGACATTGTATGTTTTCTATGGAGGACACGTTTTGATGATGAAGTGATCTTTTATGTTACTCCCATAGGTTTATGTTATAAACTGATTCATATGCACAGGGTGGTGATAGAGATACTTTCAACCTGTGAGGCAGCATTCTACTGAAATGACAAACACTTTTTTTGTCATTGTTAATCCCTCTCTCTCAGAGAGGTTTTGGACCGGAACTAGAGCTGTGTAGGAGTCAGAAAAGCAACAGTAAACACAACAGCGTTCATTTCAGGTTGGAGTAAGAGCAGCATTGTTCACATACCTGCAGCTCAGCAGATACCTGCAGCAGACAAGGAAATATGAATAGAAAATGTTAAAGGTATTTGTGATAAATATAGATTATATATTGAAGGAGTGGTTTGAAATGATAGAATAAAGGCAGTTGTCCTCTATTCCTCTGTTACAGATACCTTGATTTTGTTGTTTTGTTGTGGTCAGGTTCAACAAGCTCGGGCTGGATAAAATAGCAATTGGAGAGGAACCAAATCCCTCACATCAGGTGGAAGAAGTCCATTCTTACGCTCCGGTCCAATCAGCCCCGCTCAACAGTGAGAAGATTGTTTACATTGATATTGGGACAGCCCATTCTGTTGCTGTAACAGGTAAAATATTGCCATTTTTAATCTATCTAATGAAATTCTGCCTCCATAATGGTACTAAATAAGAGAAGATACCAGATTAAGCGAAAGGCTGCTTGGAAAGATTACTTCAAGCTTTAACTTGTGTTAAAGCTAAATCTTAAGGCTAATCTTTTTTTTCACACACAACTCTTCAGTCAAATCAAACATGGTTTCATTTATTGTGCCCAAGAAATTTGCATCACCACTTTAATTCACATTTTCCTTGTCCAGAAAAGGGTCAGTGTTTTACCTTTGGCAGCAACCAGCATGGCCAGATGGGCTGTAGTTCACGTCGTAGCAGCCGCGTGCCCTACCCGGTGCCCGGGCTGCAGGGCATCACCATGGCTGCTTGTGGAGACGCTTTCACCTTAGCTATTGGATCTGGTGAGTAGAAGGGACTATATGTGAAATCTTTGTTTTTAAAGGCCCTGCACACCTCCATAGGTGAGACCTTTGCTCAGGTTGAAAATGGGCAGACATGGGTGAGGTCTTGAACTACTAAGAATCATAAAGATTTAATTTGTCCCACATAAGGGGTGCAACAAAGCTAACAGGAGAATCAATGAGACATCAGCCAAGCACAGTGTCACATGGTGTGGCAGAAGGCAGGATGGGACAGGAAATATTGGTATGAATGAAAAACAAAATCCAGTCTGAGTGAACCATTAGAGGAAGTTAAATCCTCTATGTGGATGTAGCAGAGGTGTGCAGGGCCTTTAACAGTCACTACATGCTAATGCTGTTGCATACAGATACTGGTTTGCATTCAAGAAAACCCTGACAAAGCATTTCATACATGTGCCATGTTGTTTGGTATTTAAATAAATAATATTCACACACACAAAGAAGTATGATGAATTTTATGGTTTTGTATAAAATGTTTTTTGTTCTGCTGCTGACTCGAGACTGCAGTTACCAACAATCGCAGCATTTTCAAAAAGTCTTTATTTTCCCTCATTGTTCATCCCAAGCGAACAAAACAGGGTTCATCTCAGCTCTGAGTTTAGACAGCATTGCTCAGATGTCTGTGGTTGAGCTGTTTTGGAGGAACAGAGGAGGATTCTGGGATGCGGAGGGCGGTGCATTTTCATGAGAGTCACCCAGGTTTCACAGTTACTGCGATCAGCTATGTGACCACACAACAGTAGTGTAACTTTAGCTCAAAAACAAATATGATCAAGTGTTCACTGTGATGGATTTTGTTACTTGAACAAGTTTATTTTCATGTCAAACTGAAACAAACAAAGTTTAAAAGCAATGGTTATATGGAACATACAGTGTGGTTTGGAAAAAGGGTTCACAGTAATGTAAACTACACAGGGTTTTTAGATAATGGGCTAAACACACAAAACCATCAGTATGGTTCTTTAAACACATGGCTTAACAGATAGGTAACAGATGTTGTGTGTGTGTGTATGTGTTTATACTTGTGTGTCTGTAAGTGTGTGTTTTGTTCTTTAAGCTGAGGATAAAATGGTAAAATGTCATATTGTGCCAGCGATTGGCTCCCTGGGGAGAAAGCCAGCAGTGCCAGTCATGCTTGTAGGTTTTCTTTGTTGAGGGAAGTCTTTGTTCAGCTTTGACTTCCTACAGATAGAGCCATTATGCTGCCACTGCAGGAGAGGCAGAGCTGTCAGTTAAAGATTTGTGTGGATTAATGCATCCTGAGGTTTGTGCTGTGAATGTGGAGAAATGGTGACCGGCTCCTTCTTCTCCTGCTTTCTACAGAAGGTGAGGCGTACACCTGGGGAAAGGGGGCCCGCGGTCGCCTCGGAAGAAAAGAGGAGGATTCTGGGATACCGAAGGCGGTGCAGCTCGACGAAAGTCACCCATTCGTGGTGACATCAGTGGCTTGTTGTCATGGAAACACTCTGCTGGCAGTGAAACGTAATATTTCGCTTATTACCCCTTTGTTAACAAACACTGTGAGATGTTGGGATGTGGTGAAATCTAACTGAGAGGGTACTAATCCCCAGATGAAAGACAGGCTGAACTTGAGACAAGCTTCTCTTGATAATGTCGACAGAGACGCATGTTTTTCCGTGCAGAATTGTGAAAGGACTCGATTTGTAAGTTTGAAAGCTGACTGGCTAAAGCTTCGTTTCATACAGTCATACACAGGCGGCGTGTCAAAGCGCTCTTCTTCACATTAACAAACTGCTTACTTTCAGCTATACTCTGCCAACTCGTTCACAACCTTTCTATCTGCGTGCCAGTAGTGATAATTCAGTCCAACCCTGCATCGTCACTGTTGATTTTTAGACTGTCATGCCATAGACCTCTTACTGAGAGGAATGGAAAGCAGCAATTTGTACCACTTTCTCCCGGCAGTGACGGTGCAAAAGCCACAGATTCTAATGAAAACCGAAGAACAGTGAAGGTGGGATTAAATCCTCCCTCTACACTCCAAATTGAAAATAGCTGCAGATTTAGAGAAGATTAAACTGCATCACAGTTTAATAAGTAGCAGACATGTTGGTAATCCTGGCTACAGGCTACAGCGCTGCTGTTTAAATGTTTCTTTGACCTGCACTGTGACAAGGACATGGAGACCACATGGACACCGATAGAGGTCATTAGCAGGATCTACATAATAAGCATAATACTAAACCTTAATACAACAGTCCGGATGACAGTGTTGATATATGTTTTCATTCACCGTATATACTTTTTATGGGGATTAAAATTCAGTGTATAAACACTTAAAACCCCCAAACTCAATGATTTTATGAAAGAATTAAATGCATACTTTATCAAGAACACAAAACTGTTCACTTTGGACCTTATTTTACTTACAGATCCCCTCTATTGTCAGTTCAGTTAGATGTTAAATCTGATTTGAGTCCAAAACCTTTGTTTCTAGTTAGATTCAGGTGTCACTGTACAATTCTTTCCATGTTTTCTGCAGATATTGAAGATCTTGAAATCATTTTATAACAGATATTTGTCCACATTTTTATTCTTGGCGTAAAATTGATTTGAAAAACACAATTTAGACTGTCATCAGACTAAAACTCTTCACCACATCTGTTCAAGGCCAGAGAATTAACTATTCATTCACTCAGTCAATGCAACAAAAAACCATTAGGAATTCACAGGTAGTGCAGGTGTAACTGTACAATCTTTCTTGTTCAGGAATCCAATAAAGTTATTGGGATTTCTGCCTGCCAAGGACTCGCAACACCGCTGAATGCTCCCTTTAAAATTCCAATTTATTTCTTCACAAAAAGTACAAGGTCTCAGTCCCAAATTAAAAAAACAAACAAATGTAATTTAAGCAATTGAGTTTCAAACCGTACTGTGTGTCCTTGTGGGAAGGTTAAGCTGTGTAGCCTTGTATGTGGACAAACACAACAAGCTTGTATAGATATTTAATAAATTGTTAGCCACTTTCTCATTATTGGCTAATTGATTTATCAACTAGAGATTTACAAGAGAACTCATGTGCTGACATTTATGGCAGCAACTAATTATTTTTATCGATTAATCTGTTGATTACTTTCTCAATTCATTTACGAATTGTTTTGTCATATTCAGATTCCTTGTTTTATCCATCAGTCCAAAACCCAAAGATATTCAGTAAACCATCATAGATGACAAAGAAAAGCAGCCAGTCTTCACAGTTAAGAAGATTGAACCACTACATTTGGCTTTTTTTCAATCAATTAACTGACTAATCAGCTAGTAATTTCAGCTCTGTCGACATTTTACCCTTGTCCCTTTCTCCCTCTTGTTTCAGCTTTGCTTGAGGAACCTGTCCCGAGATGATTTTGTCCTGAAAACAAACCCCCCTCAGCGCTGGCGATGGAATGAGGTGAAGGACAGCTTCCTCTGAATAACTCCTCCCAGAGGCCCATCTGTGCTGCAGTTGAAAGATTCCCTTTCATACTGCAGCTGCAGCCTCAGACTTTAACTTAGTCTTCCTCTATCTAGTGTTTTTTTTTTTCCTCCTCCAGGAATGAATGTTTATTTCATTCGGTGGTTTGATATCATGGAGGTCAAAACCTGTGTGTTGCAGCAGGTGTATGTCACAACAGGTTAGTCTAGGGGATGTTGCAACACAGTCACTGAAGCTGGATTACAGGAAGTCATTAGGCAGCTTTCATGTGGTGAACTATTGTCCTCTCTCACGTGCAGGGTTAGCATGATAAAGACCAGTAAAAGCCAAACTGGTTTGAGCTCTCTTAAGCCCACTGGTGAATGACGATACAATGCACAGAGAGGAAAAGAATGAAAGCCACTTGAGTGTTAAGTAACTCATCAGTCAAATGAACCAAACACATTAATCTCGATCACATCGTCAGTGGTCACATTGTGCTTCATTGGATTAGTCCTCCAATACTTTTGTTGCTTGAGAGCAGCGTTCAAACCAGATAACGATTTGTGTTGTTTAGGGTTCAGGTGATCATCTAAATGAGTTGTGTCTTAAATCACTCCCTTGTTCACACATTCACTGCTCCCTATATAATACACACTTAACAGTTTATAACGAGCAGTGGGGTAATTTCAGAGACAGCCTTTTGTGTTTTTGGAAGATTCTGTGTTATAACTCACTGTAAATGTGTATTATATTTGAAATGAGATTATATGTATAAATATTGTGTAAACTGTATTCATAGGATGACCTACGACTGCCAAAGCAAAAGCCAAAATGTGCCTATCAGAGTTGAAAGAAGGACTCAGGTCTTTTACTTAAGTAAAAGTATAAATAGCACATATAATAGCACAAACAATCCTGCATTTAAAGTTTTACTTAAACCTACAAGGAGTTTTTAACTGGTTACCATACAGTCCTAATTTAATACTGATGCCCCTACGCGACCTACGTAAACAATAAACAAACAAGACCATCAGCGAAAAGACAGGTCCTTCGCGTATTCTGCATGTTTCGTAGTTTCTCCTTCGCGCTTGGAAGTGGAGGGTGAGGCGAGGGAGTTGCTATCTGCAACTACACAGCTAGATGCCACCAAATCCTACACACTGGACCTTTAAGTAAAAGTACAAAAAACCTCCAAATATACCAAAAGTAGAAGTACTAGTGCAAAATGGCCCCTTTCAGAATAAGATATATTATAATAATAATCGTAGTATAGTATTTACTATAGTAAAGCTGGAGCTAATTTAAATTGCTGTGTACACTGCCAGGTGCCTTAATCTATAATAATGCATTATAATGTGATTGTTTATATTTTGTATTGATAATCTTAATAGTGTGTGGAGTATAAGTATAAAGTACCATGTAATGAAGTAAATGTATATAGTTACTGCCACTGGTACCAAGGAGTGTAGTACATCGTTAATACATATTTTTATATTAACTTTTTTTACAATATTGTCATCACCAGCTACCACGATATTTTCTGGTGTTAAAGCTTTTATTGTCAAACTAAAAGAAGGAATGATCTTAACAGGTGTCTGTTGTACAGACTGAAAATTAAACATCTTTATCATGACTGTGAAGGTTAAAATAAATCAGGTTGTACGTCAGCAGTTTAAAATGAACCTGTGGTATAAAGTCTGACAGTCTGATTACCTTTGTGTAATTCTTCCCCATTATTCTCACATTAATCACCCACTCACACATTAATCTGTGTAATTGCCACAGAGCTGTTATTATTGTTACACTGTAGATTCATATTCATTTTTCCCTAATAAGAAATCACCTATTTTTCTAAATGTAATTACGTGTTTACAATATTTTACTCCTTATTTAAGATGCGTTCACACCTTTCTCTGAGGACACGGATCGATTACCATTGTTGTCTCGTGTGATGATGTAATGATGATGTAATCCGGTGGCAATAGAGCAGGTGAAAAATGATCCATATATGTGTCTGTGTGTAGTATTTCTACTTCCATTAAACGATGTAGACCCGAAGTTTGTTTGTTTGTTTAATGAGTGTAATACTGTATGTGACGGGTTATTTTTATCATGTATTTAGAAACATTTTAAGATGAAATAAAGGGAGAAAATACTGTATTTATTCATTTTGTATGTCTGCTCTACCACCAGGGGGCACCTCTCACTCTACTTTAGACTCCTGTAGTAGGTCTGTTTTTATAGCCTATTTATTTGAATTAAACCTTAACAACAAAACCCTCCTCGTCTCTTACTTTACTAATTAAGACTAAATATTTTAAGTATCTCTAAAGTCATGCCCAGTTTGTGCACACATATTTAACATACAAAAGTCTTCTATCTGTCAAATAAATAATAAACATTAAACATGAGCATGAAAAACAAACCATGCATTTCATTAGAGGGCCGCTGCAGCCGCACAAAAGCCCCATTAAAGATCCATAAAGAGAGATCAGAGGGATAAAAATGGTGTGAACTGACTGTTTCAGCTCCTTGACTCCTCCTGCATGGAAGGAGGAGGCGGGACTCGGTGCACCTAAACAGACGGAGGGGTTGTGCATTGTGCTCAATGTGTCAGTGCTGCATCCACTGAGGAGAGAGAGGGCCACACACACACATCACGGCCACATTAACCCCGAGCTGTAAACCTGCACACACACACAGAGAGAGAGAGAAAGAGAGAGAGAGGACGAATCTGTGATCATCTCTGCAGCCTTTCCCCGGACTGTCTACCGCTTTTGTTGCCATCAGTCGCCGGGGCTGCACGGGAGGAGAAGCTGGAGGGGGGTGGAGGAGGAGGAGGAACTCGCCTCCTTTAAAGCCCGATCGGTCGGCGGCGGAAGGGACGTGATATGAACCCCTCATCGGCTTGAACGGCAGTGCAGCTAAATAGCCCCGTTTTCCAGGAGGGGGGTGGGGGTTATTTAACGGAGGATCAAAAGAAAGGACATTTCTACCTTTAACCTGCAGCTGAAGGCCGAGAGGAAAAACACCCACGGAACCTGTAGCGATGCCCGGGTTTGATTACAAGTTTCTGGAGAAGCCAAAGAGACGGTTCCAGTGTCCGCTCTGCAGCAAGGCGATGCGGGAGCCGGTCCAAGTGTCTACCTGTGGACATCGGTTCTGTGACACCTGTCTGCAAGAATTTCTAAGGTACGGCATGTGTGTGCGTGTGTGCAGACGAGAGAGCCACCTCTCTGCAGGCGATACCGGAGAGTACAGCCCTTGTCTAGTTTCGGTCGAGCAGCAGTAAATAAAGGATGTGTAGGTGTGTCCTCCTCACCTCTCCTCAGCAGGGTTTTTATATTCATTTTTAGTCCTGTGATTAATGAAGCAGCACAATGACTGGGACAGTGCATGGGGCCTGGTGAAACTGCACATGTATTGAACTCCCCTCCTTTTTTTTTTAGTTGCAGGTGTTAATTCCCCCTCTGCACATATGCAAGGATTTGAATGCATTAGCGAGCCACTGTGTCAACATAAACAGGACTGAGGATCCGGTTGTTTTGGCTCAGTCATGCAGGTTCTTTCTTGAGAACAGGTAGAGGATGTTGTCATTGTTCTGACAAAGGAAAGAAGCTTTTTGTTGTGGCTGAATCATGCATGAGTCAAAAAAGAGAAAAAAAAACAGAGAGAGAGAGAGAGAGAGAGAGAGGCAGGCTTGCAGTGATGCTTGTTAGTTATCTGCAGCTTTTGTCCAGTTTTAACTCCTTCAGTCTTTTAGGGTGGAGTGGTTTTAGTGTTAATATCCTTCATGTTGTGGTGTTTGTGTCCTGCAGAGGGCCCCTGCTTCCCTCATCCTGTCTGTTTTTGCCCCCAAGGGGTGGCTGAGTCTGCATGGGTCTGGGGTTGAGGATGATGAGGTTGAGGATGTGTGTGTGCGTTTGGGAGTCTGCCCCCCTCCTCACCTCCTAATCTGCTGAAGTCTGTGTGAAGACTTGTAGAAAGAAAGTCTTTGTTTTCTCCACACTGTCCTGAAACAGTCAATAATTATCACACACACACAGAAAGGAAACTCGTGTGATTCACGGAATCTCAGTTTTAATACCAACAACAACAACTTACCTGCAAAGTGTGTCTCCTTGTCATTAAGTAAACTTCTATTAGATGTGGCAGACAGAGTGACTGTGAGGTTTTCTCTCTATGTGTGGTGTTTACCAGCAGTCAATCACAGAGTTCTCCATGTGCAGAAGAGCTGTGTTCAGTCTTTTAGGAGGTTGATATTCTGTATGGACACAAATAATTTGTGCTTTTATTGAAGTCTGAAGATAAAGTAATCATATGTTATGTCTTGTTAGATCTAGATCTTTAATTGCACAGATGTAAATGGTGTTCTCAGGCACATTCAGTCATGTTCAGGAGGTAAACAGATAGAAAAAGAAGAAAGTGAGTCCAGTTTTCTTTACAAAACAAACTAGTAGAGCCAGCAGATGAAGATTCATATTGGTTGTCTTGCCCATTATTTGCTAGATTAAGCAATTCATCATCTAAAACGTGTAATATAACAACAAATAACAAAAAAGAAATGTCCATCAAAGATCAAACTTTCCCAGAGTCAAAAGTGATGTCATGAAATGTATTGTTTTGTTCTCCAACAGAACCGTCCAAAGGTATTCACTTTACATTCATATAAAACAGAAAATCCTCACATTGGAGAAGCCTGAACCAGAGAATATCAGCAAATTAATCCGAGGATTAATTGATAATCTGAATAGCTGCAGAGTAATTGACTAATTGTTTCAGTTCTAGTACAAACTATGATGATTCAAGGGAGAAATTAAAGCAAATATGCCAAAAAGTTTAAGTATCAGCCTCTCAAATATAAAGATTTGTGTTTATATCATCATAAAGTGAATATCTTTTGGGTTTTTGGACTGAAAACTGGCCTATCTGGCTTATATTCATGGAGTTCATGGTTTCTTAGAAGCCTGTGCAGGCTGGACATAGTTGTATGCATGATGTATTCTTCACACACAGAGCAACCATACTGTTGTTTTCCTATTATTGAGTCATATCTAGCTGATACAGAAGAGCAGCGTTTGTGTTGCAGATGAACACAATCAAATCAGAGCTTCAGTGATGAAAGATAAACTGAGAAAGACAAAACAGAAACTTGCTGTCTGTTCATCTTTGTTTGAGTCACTCTGTGGAGAAGTTAAAGCCTGAAATATATAGTTAAATATAGCATTTTAATTGTTAACGTCAGATTTACAGCCCATTAAAACACTGCGGCTTCTGGTATTTCCACTGAGAAATCAACTCAATCTGACTGATCTGCAGTTTTATTTCAGTTGGTCTTATTTAAATGTAACCAGTGCTGAAAAAAGATCTTAAAATGTCTTCAGCTTTACTTGATGAAACTTGAAGACACCCTGAGGGAAACTCAAAAGCAAATAAAACAACACTTGCCGTCAGCAAAAATGAATATCTAATTAAATATTAAAATATCTTTTATCAACTTTTTATGCTTTTCAAAACCTTCTTGTGTCAGAAAAACAAGTCTACTAGTCGACAGGAGAGATATGGAGATGTGAATTCATGTTCTGAATACATAAACAACTGTCGTGAGCTCCTAGTTTTCAGCACCTTGAGTCATCAGGAAGCCTCCTATGGCTCACTAAACAGCAGCAAATTGCATCTGGTTGAAAAGCAGAAACTCAGATGAACAAAGAGAGCGAGGGAGGAACAGTGTTCGCTGCTGATCAATGAGTTTGGCCCGGCGCTTTGTCTGCCTCATCCTGCCCGCCTCTGCCTCCGTCCTCAAGTTTACGGTCTTTTTTTTTTACTCCCACATACTGACTGAATTTAACTAAAGTTTCCCAACTTCTGAAACTTTTTGTTGAGTAACTGTTTTTGTTTAGTCGGGATGTGAGTACAGATATGAGTCTGATTCCTCCCTGTCTGACCTGCATGATGTGAAGTTATGGAGCAATATCTGTGTTCACAAATTCCTCTTTCTAACCTCTTGTAAAGGAGTTAAAGCTCATAAGTACTGGCTTTATTTATGGTTAATAAATAATTTACTAACGATTTATGCTATAGATGAGTTGTAACTTATCAATAATCAGAACAACCTTTGACTGGTGAGATCACGTGACCACTTATTTCTAGAAAAATCTGGACCAAAATCAGTTTATTTACAATTTATCAGCACTTCAGATTTGTGGATTAAAACACTTTGCAGACATGATAATTGAATAATCGATTATAACATTTATAACTGCATTATTACCAAATGGAAAGTTTTCACAAAGTGGCAACCTAAAAGTATCTAGAAAGCCTTGTCAGTGATTTATTAACCATTAATAGGGCCATTAGTTCCAACCTATAAACTTTTCATGAAGTGCCTCATTAAAAACGTGGTACCTCATTATCATTAAGTGATTGAAATGTCTGAACAACTTGTTTCAATCATTCAGATTTTCCAGATAGATGTAAAAGATCACTTTGTTTCCCAGTTAAATCAGAGGTCCTGGTTCACTTCTCAGGTAGAATAAAGCATAAATAAACATTCATATCAACAGCAGTTGGTATTTCAGCAGCTTCACTAACTTTCACTCAACAGAAAGAAAGCCACTGCCAAGGTGAGCGGCTGCGTATTCGCATAAGCGTGCCAGCTGAAGCCAGTTTCAGCCCTCTCGGCCATCGAGCACGTGCATCTTTTGTGAAGAGGGTTCGAGTTTATTGAGGCTGACAGAGAGTAGTTAGCTAATGTTTCGCCCATTGTGCAACTAGGTTGATCCTATTCCTGTAATTATTGAAGGCTGTGTAACGTCCAGTCCGGGCTTGCCAACCGAGTCTGCCTACTTTCACATTGACAGCTCTGTCACTGTCTCTGGAGTCCGCTGCTCTGTCGAAACAAGCCACCTAAGAATGCTACTGCATGGCATAGCTTCAGAGTTAATCATCCTCTCTCAACAGCAAATCAAATATTACTTAATGGTAACACTTTACTTTAACTCCCCCTATTTAGCCATTATAAGGAGTATATAAACAACCAATAAATGGGTTATAACACACTGTAATGTAGTTTTAAGTAGTGTTTATTAATGTATTTGTCAACAACTATAACCTCTCCTGTGGTCAACCGTAAGTGGAGGCTGTGGTATAAACAGATAATAAAGGCTAATGTACATTTGTCATAATATAAAATGTGTGTAGTATAAGGACATGTCATATTTTACACTATATTGTCATTCATTATCTGTTTATACTTAATTTAATTTACTTTAATCCTTAAGTGTGCAGTTATAAATGTAATTATGTCACCAATAAGGAGTTTTAATAAGCAATTCTTCAATTAGAAATGTTAATAAGTCATTATAACAGTTGTAATAGTGTAAAATATGTCTTATAAACACTTAATAATGCAGCTGTAAGCAGATATAAGGACATTTTAAGTTTATATTAGTTGCATTTATGTTATTACAACTGTTCTTTACTATATTGTCATTTATTATCTCTTCATACACAAGCCTCCACTTCAAGTGTCACCCAGTTCTCAGTCAGTTATTTTGAAAAGGCTTAACCTTGTATCTTGACTTCAAAGGATGTCAAAGTAAAGTGGAACTTCCCTGAGAGGCACTCGAGGACACACATGGATTGTTCTTACTTTACCATGTCTCCACGCTAAAAAAGAGCTGGTATGCCTCCTCTGTGTCCACAGGCATGTTAGCATGTGATGCTAATGGGCTGTGTTTCCGCCCCGGGAGGAATGTGTAAATACTTAGCAGCAGCAGTCCTGGAGGCTGCCCCAGCTCCGAGGGAGAGTCATGGGGTGAAAGTGGCCCAGCCCTGCAGCTTTAAAACTCCGCTGCAATCAAATATGAGTCACATGCTTCAACAATTGAGTGTTGCTGACTGGGGCAGGCCTTTGTTTTAGCAACACTGCCCCCTTAATAAATGAGAATCAACACTTAATGGTAGGGCTTATGGCCGTGCCAAACATGCCAGGTCTCACGGCTCATCGGCCCTGGGTCTCAATGTGACAGTGGTGTCTCTGTGGGGATGATGCAGTGCTGTGCCACGGCCTTGACAGGGGTGTAATTGGGTTGTTCGGCTCGGAAGCGTCCTCCTGCGGGCCTCCACGCAGTCGTGTAGTGCTGCAAATGCTGACTTACCCAGTGTCACGCGGAACTCCAAAGTGGGCTAAT